CTACAGCTGTTTTGTCTACGGAGAAAATCTGAATCAGCCTAGTTACTACTGTGTCTTACTCTGAAACGATTTCATTTATAAGGCCTGATTCTCAAGGTATGATCTGTTATTGATACGCATTATCCGAGCTTTCAAATTCTACATCTATTTCTGTTCTAGTATTATAGAGTGACTTCTCTCCTCCCATACTTACCTTTATTTTATAGCCTCTAAGACTATTAAGACGATTAAAGTAGCTTAACTGGAACTTCATTTTTATTTTATTAATAGAATTGTCTCACAGTCTAGTACTTATACAGTACTCTTGCAAATGAAGGACATTTGATTTTTAAGTCAATTATTCATAACCCAATACTGTATCCATTATCTGTTTCTTTCTGGTACAGTGGAGTTGTCCTGCCTAGTGCTCAGGGCTGGACCCGATGATCTTGCAAGGTCCCTTCAAGTCCCTAACATCTATGAATCTATGGAGTTGGATGCTTTACAAGTAAGTTAGTGTACAGTGCTTTTCATCCATAGATCTCAAAACATTTTACAAAACAGAGACAAGGACTGTTATTTACATTTTCCAGCTATAACAGAACACATATCACCTGCAAAAATCCTTGCCTCTGCTATCTTTTATTGGATCAATTCAAAGGTTAGGAGACATGCAGAGAAGCTTTTGGGTACAGAGCACCCTTTTTCTGGTCACCTGAACCTATGATCTGAAGAAGGGTGCCTTGTACGCAAATGCTTTCAAACATGTAGTTGGTCCAATGAAAGGCATCAGCCACAAAACCCCTTGTTTCTTCTGAATTTCCTGGATCATCCTGCTTGTAAGATCACTCCAGTGCTAGCAGGAATTACCATACTTGCTCAAGGTTTGTCCTGTGATTATGAAAGCTGACTCAAAATATCTAGGATCCACTCCCAGCTCTGCCCAGCATGGCCCAAGTCAGAGTTACTCTGTGCCTTTTTTGTCCGTGCTTAACATGTAGTACGAAATCCAGTTAAGTAATGCTCAGGATGTCTTCAGACAGTATGGTAGACAGCACCGAAGAAAACTGCAGAAAATTAGGATTTTACTCCTACAAATCCTGCTTTCTTGTTGAGACTGGCAGAAAAAAGGGTCAATTTATATTTTCTAGGCTGAAAGACAGGAAAACTAAGCTAGTACAACAAAAAGAAGCTATTTCGATGTTAAAATGATGAAAGTTGCAGGGACGTGGGCATACACAAAGTCATGCAATATTTCTCTGCCACCTAATCAACTGCTTTCTAGCAGATGCATAGATATTTTAATGCCTCAAGAGCAGTAAGTATCTGGGGAGGCCCAAGGCATACCCGACAGGGTTTGAGGTCTGGGCCAGCAGGGAAAAGCTGGTGTGCCAAGGGCAGATGTCAGCATGGCCAGCAGCCAGGTGCTTTATAGTCCCATAGCTGGTCGGTTCAGAAGGGACCTGAGCAGATCATCAAGTCCAACCCCCTGCCATGGCAGGAAAAAGGACTGGGGTCAAACAACCCCAGCGAGGTGCTCATCTAACCTCCTCTTAAAGACCCTCAAGGTAGGAGCCAGCACCACTTCTCTTGGAAGCTGGTTCCAAATCCTAGCCGCCCTGACTGTGAAGTAGCGCCTCCCGATATCTAGCCTAAACCTCCCCTCTGCCAGCTTGTGACTGTTATTTCTAGTCACTCCTGGTAGTGCTTGGGGGAACTGGGACTCCCCCAATGCCTGCTGGTCCCCTCTGACCAGTTTGTAACACGCCACTAGATCCCCCCTCAGCCTTCTCTTGTGGAGGCTGAACAGGTTCAGGTCCCGTAGCCTCTCCTCGTAGGGCCTGCCCTGCTGCACCCTGTTCATGCGGGTGGTCCTCCTCTGGACCCTCTCCATGTTGTCCACATCCCTCCTTGTGCCGCAAAGAGGGGGAGGATCACCTCCTTGGACCTGCTCGAGATGCATCTGTGGATGCATGACAAGGTGCGGTTGGCCTTCCTGACCACATCCCCATGCTGTCGGCCCACCTTCATTTTGGCATCAATAACGACTCCAAGATCCTTTTCTGCCTCTGCACTGACGAGAAGGGATTTCCTCAGCCTGTAGGTGTGCTGCTGGTTCTTCCTCCCCAGGTGCAGCACCTTGCACTTGTCAGTGTTGAAACCCATCCTGTTCTCATCTGCCCACCCCTGTAACCTGTCTAGGTCCGATTGCAGCCTATTCCTCCCTTCTAGCGTGCCCACTTCCCCCCACATCTTAGTGTCATCAGCAAATTTCAACACGGTGCTTTTTACCCCATCGTCCAAGTCACTGATGAAGACGTTGAACAGCGCAGGTCCGAGGAGCGAGCCCTGGGGGACCCCACTGCCCACATCCCTCCAGGTCGAAAATGACCCGTCCACCACCACTCTCTGGGTGCGGCCCTCCAGCCAGTTAGCGACCCATTTGACTGTGTAGGTGTCGATGCCACAGTCCCCTAGTTTTTTAATGTGAACGGGGTGAGAGACAGTGTCGAAGGCCTTCCTGAAGTCCAGAAAGACGTTATTCTTTCCCTTGGCCCATAATTGCCAATGCATCAAAGGTTTTAAGGTAGCCACTTGGCATATGAAATTGGTGGCAGCTGTGAGGCTAGGGGAGAGGGTTACCCCATGGCTGCTGCCTGTATCAACACCTCCCCTCGTGGCAGTGCCATCTTGCAAAGAGGGACAGGGGAGGCCAAGGAGGGGACTCCTGTCTCGTGCCATGCTGCATGAGCCTTGGAAACCCTGGCCTCCATTCCAGTGCAGTGATGGGGGAGAAAGAGAGGGAGGGTGAAAGCGAGAGCACATAGGATTTTATTTCTAGTTACATTATGATAGTATCTAGAAAATCCAATCAAGTGTTCACTGAACTAGACATCATAAAGAAAAGTAATAATCCCTGTTCCGTAGAGCTTGGATTCAATCACACCAGGCTAATAAAAAGGTATGGTACATAAGCAGAGGAAGAATACTAGAAAATAAGTTTTGGGTGTGTTTCTGTTTGGCTATGCAATGGAATTCATTATACTTAAGCCGTTCACCGCCCTCAGGTTTTGCCTTTTTGACAGGCGAGGGTATCAGTGCCAATACTGCTGAAGTTTGCCCTACTTTCC